AAACCTTAGAATTTGAAATCACCATCAAAGTGTCATCTTCAACCTTAGGGTTTCATATTTAATCATTTTATAACCATAAACAACACCAAAACTACATAAACAACCTTTATTTATCCTCACACAACATCTTAAAGTTGGATTTAAGGGTTGGGTACCTCTAAAAACAAAACCCTAAACAAATTGTCAAAAAGAGGAGATTAAAGGGTAGAGGAAAGATTAAACAAGCTTACCGTAGTGATTTAGAGCTCTAAATTCATGCCTTTGGGTTAGGAATCTCAAATCCTAACATAGCCTCTAAAAAATTGCCTTAATGAAAACCAACAACCCTCTCTATCAAGTCAATCGTGAGGATAGACCTGATATTCAAATTTCAGCGTTGTACGCTGTGATGACACAAAACTAAGGCACCTCATTAAAGCCTTAAATTTGAGCCTAGTCCTACCTAAAACCTATATTTTAACCCTATTTGAGCTTATAAATGTCTCTAGGCTCTTTTTAGTCCATGATCAAGTGCTTAAACTATCAATAAACCTCAATTATCCTTAAACATAATATATTTACTCAAGTAAACCTCAATTTGTTAATGTTCCTAGTTTAATTTTCTTAATATTTCTGATATATGTATTGTCAAAGTTTATTTATGATATCATCATTTCACAATATGCAACATTTTCAAACACAGGTATGCAAAATTACACATTTACTCACAAACAATTAAGCACTTAATCAAATAAAGTAAGTTATTTCGTTACCTCAAACCCTTTTGTCATAAAAAGGGTTATCTTATTCTAAATATGTGCTTCACAAGGTCCACACACATAACAATACTCAAGCAATATATAATTTACATGATTTAACAATAATTATCAATTATCACTCTAATTAAACCCTAAAATCACTAAATTTTAGGTACCCGTTATACTTAAAGATCTCATTTCATTAACATCAACTCTTTCAACATACTCCATTAATCCTATTTAGCATCCAAACACTCAAATTAAACCATTCCTTTACCCACATTACTTCTAAACACCTAAATTCCACTTAGGTTTCATCCAAACCCTAAACATAAACTTTAAGTCACTACACAATTCATAAACTTAGATCTAAAAGCTTGATTTAACAGTTCAAGATTTTAACTAAGGTGACGGGTTTGGTTACAACCCAAGAAGAGACAAAATCAAGCCCCACATTACCCCAAACATTTTAAAATTTGCATAAAAGAAGAGGGAGATATATAGAAAACTTACTTAAGTATAAATTTTGCTCCAAATACTTTCAAATAGCTCCTAAAATCAAGCTCTAGCAACCCCAAATTCTTCCTCCTTCGCTCCTTTTGGTTTCTCTCTTTTTTGTCTCTGAAATCAGACATGTTTGCATCTAGTTTAAGCTAAAATTTGGTCTTACACCGCATCGCAAGTTGCATGTGTCGTGGCACATAGCACAATAAGTGCCATATGCTGTTTTGACCTTCCACTTGAGCTTAGTTGATCTGTACATCATCTTAGCTCATTTGCAAGGCTATCTAAAGGTTTAAAAACTTCATTAGTATTCAAAAACACCATTAATTTATAAGTCATATATTTTGATAATTTTACCCTTCTTAAACACTTAAAATTTTAAGTTGAAAACTTAAGATGTTACAATTGGCACTTCTTGCCATACAGTATTTTATACAGGGTCATTTACATATTGGCGTGGTAACTATTGTTATGCACAAATTCCACAAGAGGCAAGTGATCATCCTAACTACCTCTCAACTTTATGGTGCAAGCCAATAACATATCGATAGTTCATATATTTTACATATTTTTATCTCACTTTTCTTAGCTTTTTACCACTTGTCTTGAAATATTTTGGTTTGAATGAGTAATATTCTAGTTAAAGGGAAAAAAATATTTTTAAGAAATTTTTGAGATTTATTACATATTTTTTCAGATTGTATTGAATATTATTTTTAATTCTCTAAACTATATTTTCTATTAATTTTATTATTTTGTTATAGGTGGCTACATGGCAGAGACAAGAAGCAAGAGGATAAAGTGAGAGAATTCATTTCCCTTCTTTTATTTTATTTTCTTCTCCATTTATTTTTAATAGTTTCCTTAGCTATTATTGATTCCATTGAACTTCCATCTCATCATCTCATAATTCTAGTCCAATTTTCACCCAATTTCACTTTCACATGTTCTACGCTTTTAATTTTTCACTTAGAATTTCATTTACCATTCCATTAGCTTTAGTCTTTAGAGTTATCATCATTTTATTAATATTCAGATTTGAAAATAAATATTTTTCCACCTAAAATATGTAAGCACGTGATCTCCACTACTCTGTTCAATTTCTATCTCATTCTTTCTATATATACAATCAGATTTGGGTATTTGGACTTCACTTCTCTTCTTCCACTAATATTTTTTTTTTCACATTCTCTACCGCCTCTTCTCTTTCTCCTTAGAAGAATCATGTGCTCTTCATGGAGTTGAGGATCATTTGGCCTTCTCATTCATTTTAGAAAACAATCACCCTCTCTTCATCTACTATTAATTTTTCTCGGCATCTTACTCATCTCCTTGATCTTATGATCTCACTCTCTCTCACCTTCTTCATCACCTTTATTTTCTCTATCTCTCTCGCCTCTTATTTTCTTTTCTCCATATTTTGCCAAATTTCTCTCTCAATTCTAGATCCCAAACTGTGCAAACCCTTTCTTATTCTTTATGCACAAAAGCCTCCATCTCTGTTCAATCATTTTCCTTCATTTTCTTCAACCAAATTCTTCATTTTCTTCCACCAATGGCTGAATTTTTTTGCACATTTAAAGCTAGATTTGAGGCTGTGATGAGACATGGCTAAAGGCTCAAGATTCCTATCGGTGGATTGAAGATTGAGTTCATAGATTTCAATGGTTAAGGATTGCTAGACTCTAGTTTCTCTTAATTTTTTTCTACTTGCAATTTTTTCTTTTATAGTTGAATTAGTGAAGTTGTAATGTTACATTCAAGATATTTGATTAAATGCCTTTGTTATTTTGATTGAGGATACTTGTTATTAAGTTGATTGGTTGCTAAAATTTTGCTTAATTTTTGAATTCAATGGTTTAATGCATAGTTGTGATGAATTTCTTAGCATTAATAATTGTATAGTAACATTGTGAGGCCTTGACAAGTTCTAATTGAGGTTAATTTGTAATTAATTCTTAGTTAATCATTGTTTTAGGTACTCTTCTAAACCAATTAATCAACCAATAACACATTGAGAGTTTAATGATGCTAATTTAGTTTACTACATGAGTACTAATGCTTCGGCTTGTATGTGTGGCTTCGTTAGCTATTTAGGATAGTCTTGAACTACATTTTGCCAGTAAAAATATTTCCTTGGCAATTTAATTGTCAAATGAGGATTTCTTCACTATCGTACTCTTAGGGATCACACTTGCATCTATTTTTGCAAACATTTGTTCACTTATTTTCTCTTAAAACCAAAATTGCATAAACATTAGTTAGTATTTTAATTGCATTTTTTAGATAATTAATTAAAAAAATTTCTCTTGTTGTCTATATTACATTTAATTGTCATTCTTAGTCAATTTAAAATCCAAGTCACTAGGAAATTCGACCTAGATTACTCCCTATACACATTAGGGTATCTACTTAGTTTAATTTAGTGTATATGATACTGGTGCACTTCATATATCTTTTAGAGTTTGGATGGTCCTCTCAGTCTGCCCATCTATTTGTGAGTGATATGTCGTATTAAACTTCAACTTTGTACCTATAATCCTTTATAACACTCCTTAGAAGTTTGATATAAACCTCAAATTGCGATCAGACACAATATTTTTCAACATACCATGCAATCTCACTATCTTCCTAATGTAAATCTAAGAAAATTTCTCTAGTGAGTAGTTGGTTCATATTAGAAAAATGCATGCTGACTTAGTCAATCGATTGACTAATACCCAGATTACATCATGACCTCGATGAAGTTTGAGGAAAACCCATAATGAAATCCATTGATACACTGTCACATTTTTACTTCGGGATCTTTAATGCTTGTAATAACCCAAGTGGCCTCTGATTCTCAATTTTCAACTTTGAGCACATAAGGCATTGAGTTACATATTCTATTACTCCTTCCTTCATTCCTAGCCACCACCATTAATGCTTTAAATCTTGATATAATTTAGTGGCACAAAGGTATATAATATACCTCTCCTATACATCTCATTTAGAAAAAGGTCTTTCATGCCACTGTCATCAGGAACACACATTCTACCCCAGTACTCTAGATATCTATCATCTGTCACCATAAAATCCTTATTCAATATCTTTTCTCTTACCAATTAAGAATTCATCCTTAAATTGAGCCATCTTTGGTTCCTTCCAGAATTCATTCCTTATCCTTAGAAAGATCATACTTACATATTATTTTCTAATATAGAAATATCAAATTAAGTTTGAAAAGCATAACTATTAAGTTCAAAATCAACCATAACTAATTTAACAAGCATAAAAATAAAATAGAGTTTTCCTGATTATCTCAAACTTTTAAGAACTCAAAAATTACCCCTAACATAACTTGCTTCCAAAGCTAGACTTGAGCCCAACAACTATGTGGCAACATCAATTTAAAATGATAGTAACCAACATTACTAAGAATCTATCTAGACTCTAATTCACTTAAATTCACATTTTAACAACTTAACTTCACAACCAATGAGTTTATTAACTCCCATAGCTCCTATTAGTTTAAATAACAATTAATATACCATTAAACAACTCAAAATCTCACTTAAAATGGTTAAGATTCATCCAAAACCCTATAACCAAACTCATAACCTTGAAAAATTCTCAAAACTAGATTTAGAAGTGTTAAATGACTCCTATTGATCCTAGTAAAACTAATGGTTTAGACCTATAGCTATAAGGTCCAAAATCAACATCCCAATTAACAACTTCAAGTTGAAAATGTAGAAACAGAGAGAGGGAAGTGGATACCTTTGAGTCTTGAAGCTTAAATCCTTCCAAAATGACCTTAAAAGCTTGCTTTAACGGACCATAAATGTCTCTCTCGTCACTCTTTCTCTGTCTCCTTCTTTCTTCATTTTCTTTCTGCAATTCATGAATGTGAACTAATATTTAAAAATTTCCAACCATCTATCATGCTACAACACAAGGTGCCTCTATCATAGTGGATGGCACAAGGAGGCCCACTTCAATGCTTTCTCTCCCATTTGGGTCCAAGTGGCCCAAGCCACCTTCAAACCTAATCCAAAGGCTATACTTATTACAAATAGGCTCATCAGCCATCACTAATTATCATTATTAAACCAATTAAATACTCAATTTTATCTAAATACCCTTGGTCAATTAACTTAATCTGATAGTTAAAATTTACGATGTTACAAAATGTGCTTTCATGTTGGCCATTGATATTGGTCATGATAACATTTTTTTGTGACTAATTATACACTCTTGGTGGATAGTGTCATTTTTAATCATCTTGATCTATACGATTAGAAATGTAGAAGTATGATTCATAATTATATCATAGCTTTGGCATCTAAAGTTGGGTTTCTCTTATTTTTACTCAGTGTAAGGGTAATTTTGCAATTGAACCTTTTAAGAAAGTGAGTCCTTTAAGGTGGGTATTTATGCCATCACTTTCTTTAATTTATCCTTTGTTCTAACCTCTAATGCACTTGAAATTTCAAAATCATATGTTGATACTTCTTACTCTAGAGTTAATCTAAGCATTAGTTAATTTCCTTTGCTATTTTCTTTAGTATTTTATTGGTTTTTTAGTTTGTTATTTTTCGTTGCTTCTAGATTTGTTCTTGGATGGTATTTTTGGCTTTTGTTTAATGAGAATTGAAATATTCATGACAAAAAAAGTGTGATGGGTTTATGTACTTACCTTTTTTTCCCCCCTCATCAACTAGGCTAGTTAAAACTAGAAGAAAAGTTACCTAGTGCTAGTAAGTTAGCAATCATTAAGACAAACCCCCACTATAGTCTGTTAAAAGCAATGGTGCATAATTCCTAGGCATATCCTTAAGAAAAACTAGTTCATTAGAGGAGCTTTGGGGCTATTTTTGCAAAATAATCTGTGCATGTTATTTACTCTCGAGGAGCGTACAAAAGTTTATATCCCTTGTGAGCAAAAAGAATCTCTTGCACCTTAAGGAAAAGATAAGCACTGTTAACTCCTCTATATATATAATTAATAGCCTCCATTAAGTCAAAGAATATGCCAACCTTTTCCAAGTGAAGTTCTGCACAAAGTTTCATGCCATAATTAATGGTTTTAATCTACAAGAAAAGCCACCAAGCCATTCGTCTCTGTAGTTTCATCCTAATCTCCCATATGCTGCACCGTTGAAATGAATACTGGATGCATCTGCATCCACTTGAACTGTACTATACACTAGAGCAATCCATTTATGATCCAAATTTATATCCTTGTTGCACTTTAGTGTAAGATAACCCAAGTCTCTTTCCTCTACAAGTTTCCTTTTACACACATTGATGTTGTCCCATAGAGTGTGATTGGTTCCTTCAAATATATCTTGGCATCTATGCACCCATAGCAACAAGCATATGTTTCCAAAAACTATGATCCATAACCAATTTTGGACTGAGCCCCTACTAAGATGATGGGTGGTACTCTAGTTGATCCATTCCTACAAGTTACAAGAGAAAAAAATAGTTATGAAAAACAAGTTTAATAATTTCCTTCCATATATTTTTGCTCTCGTGCAATCTCTCATAACATGGATTATAGTTTTCTTACAGCCACACTCAAACGGACATTAGTTGCAAAAGCCCTCCTCACTCTTAATTGATTACTAGGTATTGTCTCATGTAAGACTTGCCAAAAGAAAAATTGAATTTTCTCCAAGATAGGCCATTTCCATAAGCTTTTCCACACCAAGATCCTATCAACAGATTCATTGTGAGCAAGAAACTTTTAAGCAGAATTAATCGAGAACCTACCATTACTACTCACTATCCACCAAAATGAATCCCTTTGATGACTGAAGGAGGGTTGAACGTGAAGGATTCTATTGACAACATTTGGAGGAAGGAAGCAGTGTAAAAGATCCCTATTCCAAGAACTAAAAGGTAGAAGAAAATCACTAATCTTAGCTTGAAGTTCACTCTGGAAGTTGGAATTGGTCCTATACTTAATCAAAGGTTGTTCTAAAGGTGCCCATCTATCCCACAAAAAACTAATTGACGTGCCATTATTAATTCTTTTACTCACACCCTGATAAAACTCTTCCCAAATTTTGGTTATGCTATGCTAGATATGTGATGCAGTTTTTTTCCTAGTCACAACGGGAACATCTCCATCCCCACATTTGTATTTAGTTCTAAGGCATTGAACCTAAAAGCTATCAATTCTGCTAATTAGTCCCCAGCATAATTTCATAATTTTATATAATTTATATGCGACCACTTTTCTCACAAAAAAAAACCAAGAGTGACAAGAAGAGTGTTACATAATATGCATATTGTTATCGTAAACATTAGCATGCATTATTTCTAATTCAATTCTCATTCATAATTCATTAAATAGAGGAATTCTCAGGGATATTTAAGTGTAAAATTATATGTATGTTATGTAAAAAAAAAAGAAACTAAACAGTTAACACTTTTTATAAATCAATCAATGCAATTTATTTTCCAAAATCCATATGATACATGAAATTCACATTAGAACAATACTATTTATTTACATTATCTGTGTGCGTAAATATTTGAGCAGACTAATAATATATACATGATATAAAATCTCTAATAAATCATACTATTCATGAGATATAGACAATGCAACTCATTTTTCATAATTTGTGCAACTTGCAATCGCACTAATTAAACTAAAGATTATTATGTATTCACATGATCTGCATGCATAAATATTCAAGCAAACTGAAAGTTATTTACAGAAATAACTTAATGAAAAGGCCTATTTTTTCTTGTAAAGATGCTTAATTAAACATGAATTGGTCCTTAAGCTCACTTAGGGCATATGAAGGCACAATCAACGCAGAGACCACCTTTGGTGTGGGTGCAATCGATTTGGGCCAAAGAGAACTTTATCTTAATGGGCTTATTTGAGCTCTCCACTTCGAAGTCTCCAACATGATAGTGGGCCCATTCTCCAGGGTTATTCAACATCGACTCGGTGACGGATTCCTGGCCGTCAGATGTGGATAGCTGAAAACGGACGGGCTTGATGTCCCACCCGTGAACTTGGGCCAGGTTACATTCTCGTCTGCCCAATTTCTTTGAGGCCTTACCCAATTGGAGTCTGAAAAATAGACTGTACGTTCCAATTGGGAATTCCAATTCTACTTCTCCCACCACTTCTACCCACCACATTTGCCGCAGATATGCAATACTCCCGAACCTGCAGTTTGAAAAATTTTAAACATATATTAAAAAACATATATGATTTTAAACATATAAAGATTAATCTTTGCATTTTCTGACCAGAAAAAGAATAATTGCAACAACGAATCATTACGAGGGATTTGAAGAAATATACGTTTTGCTCCTTTGTCATGTTGGTAACAACAAGCTAAGCACATTAAAAGACAATGCCTTTTGACTTTTTCATACGGAAAGATCAAGTTTTTAGAAGCAAGTTGCTTAGATTCCAATAAAAAAAGTAACAATAGAATTATATCTTATTCTTCGAGCTTAGGGCTTACCCCATTCAATCCTTCATTAGGTTCTTAAACCAAGTAATTAAAATGCCTATAATGATGAAGCCACATGCATGCTCTGTCCTAATTAATTTGTACAATCTAATTACTTTACTTTTCAAATTCCAATACGAACAAAGATGGATGCTTCTGTTGTAAGGAAGACAACTGACAACTGCAAATTATTCAGCACTTTTTTAACTCACAGTAATATCTAATGAAGCAGAATATATACCCTCTATTTTAAATTATAAAACACTTTTAAATAAAATTTTATAAATTAATAAACTTAATTAAATATATTTAATAATTTTATTTTTTTAAAATAAAAATATAAACTTTTAAAAATATTCATCTTTTAATATATTAAAAAAAAAGAACAAAAATTAATTATAAAAAGAGAAAAAATGTAATGTTGAAATTAGAACATTTAATAAAATCTTAATCTTTTATATAATTATTGAGATGATTTTTTTTAAAAAAAATGAAGCTCCTTTTTGGATATTAGTAAATATTATATTCTATGACCAAATTGCTTGTACTCTTCTCCTTTATGATCGTTTTAATTAGTAGCTAAGAATAGATGCCTGTGGAGATTTTATATATTATATTAATTTAAATAGCAAATGAATTTGCCAATTGGGTATTGTGTGGTAAAACAATTAAATATCTACTTTGGGTGATGACAACTTCGATGGCTTAAACATCAGGCAACAGCAAACGTTATTATTCCAAGCTTCCGCCTTAGTCTCAGGGAACAATTATGTTAAAATATATATATATATATATATATTAATCTTTGTGACAGTCAATGGAAGTTTTGGATATAGCTAGATTTAATACTAATCAAACATCGATTGCTTGCTTCCATGAATCAACAAAATAATGATGATGTTGTATATTAAGTCGGTCACGTTATGAGGATAACTCTTCTAGTCTTCCTTCTTGCTCAGTTATTCCGTATATACATGTAACCACTTTATACTGAATTTTTCAACTGTCAACTTATAAAAATAATAATTTAAATTAAAAAATTGAAATATAAACATATTTTATCAGTTCCTTTAACTTGAAGATATAAACTACTGGTAAATTTCTGATACTGAAAATGACATTATCTTAATTTATACATGGTTTCCCAGCATCTTACTTCTCGGTCAATATTCAGAACTTGTCCATCCATACAAAAGCAACACAAGATTATACTAAAAGGTTTTTACAAATATCTTGTAAGATTTTTCACAAAGGAGATTTTTTTTTTTTGGAAAATTATAATTTTATATTTGATTCGTTCAGATTTAAACAACTTCTCTCCTGCTGCCCACAAAGAAATAACATTTTTAAAAAGTATTATATTATATATATATATATATATATAATTTCAGAAATCTGGTACCTCAAATCTAGGCTTGCAGGCATAATATAATAGAAATGAGTTCTAATCAATAGTATTCACGTGGTTATTGCCTTACTGGACCAGAAACATTATTTTTTAGAACTATATCTTTCGACGAGCAATTATAATAGGGCTATTTGCAACAGATATTAATACAACTTAATATTTTAATTAAAAAAACACACAGAGAGGTAAATTCAAACGGAAGAAATGATCAACATTAAAACAGGTACAAGGATGTGGTCTCTCACCTGGATTCATCAGTTGTTAAGTAATTCCAGTATCTTCTGTCATCTATTCCTGTTATCTTCAAAGACTTTGATGATATGAGCAAACACACTTGTCCACTACATTTATCCAACCAAACTTCCTACACATATATAATCATCATCCAACAATCAACTCATTAATCCAAATCTGTATCATCTTCAACTCAGGGTCAGAAAATCAATCTAATTAACTCATCGATCCCCAGGTTTTTGTTGAAGCTGGTAATTTAAAAAGCAACGTCAAAAATTAATGAAACTTTATCTACAGTCATGGAAAAAGAAGATTGCACGGAACTTATAAAATCCCTATATATATATATATATATCCAATTTTTTATTTAAAAAAAGAAAAGGAATCTGAGATAGGAAGGAATAACTTACTTTGGTGCCGCCATCGATGAGATTGGGACGACACAGTTTGGCATAAATATCTTTCTTAGTCATGGCTTCGACGTTGTGACGATCAGCAAGAACTTTCTGGGCAAGAAACTTATAGGTTGATGGCAACTTTGATTCCCAGATAAAATCAGCAGAAGATGCTCGATGAAAAGTTCGATTCACTCTCGCCAGTTTGCAAATAGCCGGCGGGTCAAGATTCATCAGCAAAGACGAAATACAGCTTTCTGGAATATCACCAAGACCGGGACTTGATGATGATGAATAAGAAGAGCCTCCATCATCAAGATCAGAACTTCCAGAAGAAATACCAGCCCCCATGAACAAGGCTATATATATAGTGTTAAAAAGGAAGCAGAGATCAGAAATCTGCTGTGATAGGTTTAATGGTAGAGGAGGAGGAGATAGAGAAGATGAGAGGAAGAGGAAGAAGAAAGTGAAGAGGGTGGTTTCATGGTTTTCATATGGATGGATTAATTAGGAAGGTTGCAGAGTGGAGAGGCTAACATTTGGTTTTGGTTCTTTTAAGAAATAGAGAAAGAGGTGATCCATGATTCCAAATAAAAAGGTATAAAGTGGAATTTTTTTAGAAGCATATATTCCAGGAATAATTACATCTAACGACCCAAATTCTTTAACCTTTTAATCTAAATAAATATTAAATATCCTTTATCAATTTTTTAAATAAAAAATAGTTACTAATAACTATAAATACAATAAAATATAATTTATATACATCACATTTTAATTTGCGTGTAATAAAAAAGATATTATTTTTCTCTTTTTTACAAAACATGTTTGAACTTTTAAGATGATTAAACCTGAAATTTAGAAAAGGCTGGTTATGAGATGTAATTGTTGTAATAATTTTCTATATAAAGGTCCGAGTAATGGAAAAAGAATCGCAAGATCGAAAGGGACGTACAAGAACAAAACTTGAGTGTGCATGGAACTTTACTATTGTGGGATGGTCGGGATGGCTCACAAGTCCACATACTGCCATCGTGAGTTGTACTGTGTGGCGTGGATTATAGGTCACTTTTTATGGTTCTCTTTCATAATAATTTATTTGATACAAATTAGATGGCCTCACCAAATTTCTATGGAGATCAAAATTAGTCCTATTATTATCCTATCTTATATGAAGAAATTGATAGAAATGATATTAATTTTGTTATTTGATCTTTTTTCCTCATCATATATATATATATATATATTTACTATGTCATGTTGTAATAATATGCATTCGTTTGGAAGATAGATAGACGAAGTAAAAGTAAAGAAAACGATAACTTTTTATTTTCTGCCAGCCATAACTTTTTAATTAAATTTATGGGGGAAAAAATAGAGAAGCAATCATGTAATATAAAATTGAACTGATGTGATCTTATGAAATAAATGTAAATTATGAGGCCCGGCATTTTGTGGGGGGAAAAACAAAATATATGAGACTCAATTGGTGCAAGTGTTCCCACATAAGAGAATCAGCATTGGATGCCATAAGATAAGGTCATACATAAAATGCACGTGTTTGTTTCCAGAGGCTGATGAGGTGGCCAATTGACACTGACCTTTATATTATTGGAAAACCTATTATAGAATATGCTAATGTAATATAATATATTATTTGGATATAATTATTGTAAAATACTATATAGTCGTTGTTGTTATCAAATTTTCTGTGATTTTTTTAATTTATATATATATATATATATATTTGTGTAATTTTCAATATATATTCGTAAAGCCTGGTTCAAGTTATATTTTAAAATTGAACTTTATCTCGGTCAGGGGCAGTCCTAGGTAGTGTTTAGTGTGATCAAATGCTCCCCTCAAATGAAAAAAATTATATAAATTTATATGATAGATTTTGCATTCTGCCTCAACTCATCTCTATTTTTTGAACTCAGTAAAATATAACTCAAATCAAATCACTGTTGAAACTTTGTACTGAATAAACTGTCTCCATTGGCTCAGGATCCTAAATGCACCATTGGTCTCGACACACACATATATATCATTTATGCATGTAAAACAAAGCAACATATATATTTCAAGGGTACATATTTTTCCAATACATTTCATTGGGTTTGAATTGAGCCCACTATTTATAATTTTTAAGTAGCGTATAAATTTTTATAATTTTTGTATGTTACCCTGATTTTTATGTAAAATTTTATAATTTAAATTAAAATAAAAAAGGAAACCAATTTAATAATATTTAATTTTCACATTTAAATATGTGAACTCAATGTAACAAAAATTTTCATATTTGAGCAAGCTATACAATGAATATGAGTGGATACTGAGGTTGAAAGTAAGTAGAAAAATTGACAAGATGTGCAAGCTAATCTTCAGACGAGAAACATTAGTATGTCGTTATAACTTATGAATATGAGTAGACACTGAGGTTGAACAAACAAAATGATAGTTACAGAGATGAAAGCAATTTAATTAGTTCCTACTAGACACGAGTGCCCATCAACAGCACGTTTAATTATTGGGATTTACGAGCATTAAAAAAAAACATACTTTATAATTTGGTCCCCCAAAAGGATAAGAACCCTTTGTTCTTGTCCCCCCCTTCCTGCTCTTTCCAATAATCAATGTCACCATAAAACGCATTAGTTAAGAATAAAGACAAAGTAATCATTTCATTGCTACAATAATTTTAATTGGATCGTAATTTAGTATTTAAATTTTAATTCAATATAATTTAATTCTTATAATTTTAACTTGTTAAAACTCTAAACTTGATAGAACTCAATTGTTAGAGTTTTAACAATTCAAAATATTAGTTCTTTATTAAAATTTAAAAAATAACTATAGTTCTTATAATTTTAATTTTTTATAATATATAAATTAATATTTTAAATAGTTAAAAATTATAGAAATTAAGTTGCACCGAGATAAAATTTAAGAATTAAATTTCAACCAAATTAAAATTATAAAAATTGAGTTATATTAAATAAAAATTTAGATATTTAATTTTAATTGAATCAAAATTATATGAATTAAATGATTAATTTTTTAAAAAATAAATTAAAAAGCAGGAACTTTTGTATATACTCCATATACTCCTCTGATCCATGTAAAAACCTAGTTTAGCTGAGTGAGAACATCTTAATAATGGTAGTTAAATAGAAGTTGTTTAAAAAATTATAATAATATAATTATCTCAATTATAATATAAGTCATTATTAATTAATTTATGTTTCTAAAAAATTAGTTAAATTTTTATTTTCTAAAATTTTTTACATCCTTCAAATCATACACTTGAGTAAAATAAATAACTTATTCAAGACACTCTCATTAATTGCTTGAGTGAAATATAAGAAAGTAATGATACAATTTAAAAAAATATATAAAATATACATAAATACCATAAATTTTGGACCAATTAACGAGGCTTCTAAAAAAGGTCGTTTATTATGGTATAGAGGAAGTAATACTTGTCAAAAAGCATCCTTCATCCTCAGACAAAGACTACATTAATTACTTGTAAATTGTGATATTTAATTGTAAATGCTCTTTACTGCCTTCGTTCCCCCCCCCCCCCCTTTATTTTACCTTTAAAGACATTAAAATAGTAATAAAAACATATTGTTGGGATATACTCCACATAAATGAAAGGGAAACTTGATCAAATATATCATACAATATTTTTACTTACTAATTGCATTTCTTAATATATGTACAATAATCTTACAAAACAAATATTTTAAAACATAAAGATTATTACTTATATTTTGGATAAGGAAAAGGGAGAATGACAAATAAATCTCTCTCAAACAAGAAAAAAACAATTTAGTCTTGCAAAAAATGATAATAACAATAAGATCCTGAAGACCTTCTTTGAGATTAATTTTGTATAAAATGACTTTATTACCCCTTGCAACTAATTTTATATGGTTAACAAGTTTAGTTTTATTAATGACTAAAATGATTTAAAAAATCACACCTTTTTATCAACAATTTTCTTCTATCAACAAAATCTAACTAATTTATATAGTTCACAAGTTTGATATAAATATTTATAAGTTTAGTTTTACCAATCACTAAAAAGATTTAGAAAATCATGACCTTTTATGAGCAAAGTTTAATTAATTTTATATTGTTTACAAATTTGATATAAATTTTTATAAGTTTGATTTTACTAATAATTAAAATGATTTAAAAAATCATAACTTTTAAAATAACAGAAGAATATTAAAATAATTTTATATAAAATTTAATATTAAAAAAGTTCATTAAAACTTCACTGTTGTTATCACATTTCACAAGACTAATTTATTATTCTTTAATTTCAGAGGAATAAAAAAGACCTTGAAGGACGCGTTTGTGCTTTGAGGGAAAATTTTAGAATATACTAATTGTGAAGCTGGATGTAATATTTAAAATAAAAATATTATATGACTTTGTCAGCTTTTAGATGAATAAAAAATCTTTAAAAATATATAAAACCTACCTAGTTGAATATATAATTCAATTACTCACTCTTCAAAGGAATTACTAGAGCAGAAATTTTTAGTTGGAAAAGAAAATAAAAATAATTTTTCTCAGCGTTAAAAAAAAATCCTTTTTAAAAAGAGAGGGGTTGTATCTTACTCCTTCTGTTTATATATATAAAAAAAATTATATCACACAATTTAAAAAAGTTAATTATTTATAATACTTATGCTTAAAAATAAAATAATTGAACTAAAATGCCCTCTATTAATCAATATAAGCATATATTAATTATTTTTTATTAATATAAATTGTGAAGGATGATTTAAAAAATATATAATAAATACTTATTAAAATAAGTGATTTTATTTATATAAAAAATAAAAAATAATAATTCTTCTGACGAATAAAAATGGAGGGAGTAGTTTTCATATCTCAAGTCATCATTGATGAGTGGTGTCTCCACCCAACCCGTGGTTAACAAAACCTGCAGAGGAAGCAATTGATTTGAGGGATTAGTTGCTTTTCAAGGCGGCCTAATCAATTTTCAATACGATGAACTGTCATTTATCATTTTTTTAATTACTATTGATAATTAAAGAAATTAATTGGCCATTGACAAGGAAACCCGTCAATTAAGTTTAACATTGACAATGGCTGCCAGATCAAGAGTCACATGGTTACTTATAAAAATAAGGCTTCATAATACCAACTAATTATGTGCAACATTTTTTTGGGTCCAAAGCTAGATTAATAGGCCTTTTGACTTTTCGAACATGGTGTTGGGTTATTCAATTTTTACGGCAAACACGAAGTCACAAACATCGCATTCACTTTGTCAAGGTGGAAAAACTTGCTGTAATGAAACCATGGGAAGAATCACGGTTAGAACCTGAAGTTTGAATTAATTACAGTAAAATTTCTAACAATTTTTTTTAAAATTAATTATAAATATTGATTCAGACTGTTAAAGAAAGAATTTTAGTTACAATCTAAGTTACATTTGCAACTTAAATGTCTTATTTGCAATTAAAATTTTAAAATGTGTAATTATTTAAATGAATATTTTCAACTCATTTTTTTAAAAATTTTGTTTAACGTCATTAATTCAATCTGTTTTTGTTTTCTTTCATATTTTAAAGCACACTATGTTATTGTTAATTGCTTTTAGTCATGGTTATTTACTGTGATAAGCAGTCACTAATAACCAGAGTTATCCATCTTTTTGTTAAATATAATCAAACAGATTTTTATTTTATTTTAAAAAATGATTTATAAAATAGTTTTTTAAAACAAAAAATAAGAACAAAACCAAACAAGCTCTTATGTGTCGACATCCATATTTAAACTATCAAATTAAATCCTTAGATTATTACATATCCATACAAATCTAGAGGTGAAATGCACAAAACTTGTGACTTCTATCTCCACGCGTAAGGTTGTTTGTCGAGGTTAGTACTCTCTCACATTCACCTACAGACTGTTACATGAAACCATGGGTGCTAGTGGAAGCAATCTTATTGTTCTAGTAAATGACAAAATCAGTAAATGACTTTGTTTGGAAAAAATGTGAGTGAATGGCATGCAGAGAAAGCACAAGAGCACCCCTTGGTTCATGAAACAGCAAGTAATATCCCATTCGTAATCTAATGGACCCATCTGTCTCAAAAGTCTAAACCAATTTAACTTTGGTTACTCATGCGGGGTTCATCAAAGTGACACGTAGTACTTTTAAAGTCAACCAAGTTTGTGAGGCTCAAAAAGTCCTTTGCAGACAAAATCATTCATGAATAAACATTTTAGTTTATAGAAATATACTTCATTAAAAAAAAAAAACAAGAACACATTTTTTGTGTACTTAATACACGCACAATTTAATTGGAAAAATGGACATGTCCATGAAAACTTGATAGTATAAAATACCAAGTCCGACATTGAATAATAAAAAATACTTAATGAGATATTAAATGACTTGATTCTCTCACATCAACAACTAACTTTTAAAATAAAATTCTACATCCTATTTAGGTATCCATCATATATACAATTTTCAGAACATTTCTTCCGCCATATGATCAATTAAAGTATCTAAACTGATATTTTGTGGGCTAAGTAAAGTATAAAATGATAAACTAACTGTAATTTTGTCAGGCTAATTTCTTTTCTTTTTAGGCTTATTTCTTTTATTTTAGGCTGGTCCATTTTTATGGACTGGGTAGGCTTTTGGGCTCATGAAAAAGCCCATTTCTAGACAGTACTGCAGGTTGATTGATTTCACAAACAACCAGCACAATATCACGGAATGGATGTCAGGAAAAGAATCGAACGCGCAAAAAAATTGGATTTCACAGATTTGGACTTTGGTGGTGAGTGACCAAGTCTCTATCAGAATATAAGCAAGAGTCTTAATATAGCCACACAGAATCTCCAAAACTATGACGATGAGAATTCAATCAGAAGCCACCCTTGTCATCTGCCCTATCCCAATTTATAACCACAATACAGTAACTGAATGATAAACCTGAGAAAAGAGGTTCTTTCTTAGTTTCTTTTTTAGTCCTTTCCATGCCACATTTGTCAGCTCAAACCAAATCAGTCACCACCCACTTGCCTCTTCCAGGAGTCCTCCACAATCAGTTCATCAACTCCCCAGTCCTCATAGCTGAAAATTTCACAAAATACAAAAACCATGACATCCACATAAATGCAAAGTTTCAACCTCCACCCTCCCTCTTGAAGGCCAGAGAAATCCCTAACTTCTATAATGCATAGTATTTACCTTCCATCGGGCAAGTAGCGACGGATAGTAAATGGTATCTTCCGCTCTCGAAGCTCCTTCATAGCAATCTAAGGAGTTGGAAGGACATATCGCATATTTGAAAATTCTAAGCGAATCTATTGCATGACAAAACTTGCAAAAAATAAAATAAAAATATATGGGGATTGCAGGACCATTAACAAACAAGCAAATCAAATATTGATAAGGATTATAAAATGTTACAAGAAATATCCAATACAAATGGCTTGGCACCAAATAAATAAATAAGGATAAAGTGGAATCAAACAACAATTCCGCTTGAGCACTTACAGGGGGTGTACCTGATAAGCTAAACATAAATTTCTGCAATTGAAAAACGGACACAGAACATTTTATATTACTAGGACGGAATAGATAGTATATTATATTATTATTCAGTTAAAAAAAAAAAAAAAAGTTGGCGTCAAACAATGATTCAGCTTGATGCGATACAAGCAATTGAACTCCAGAGACAATCCTGATAATTGAGGGGTGTATAACAGACAAGCTTATCAGCTTTCTACAATTCAAGACCAATATGGTACATTTTATATTGCTAGGATGGAATGCATAGCATAGTATTCTTTTCTTTTCTTTTTCTTCTTGTTTTTTTTTTTTTAGCAAAAGCATAGCATATTATTCAATCAAGCCAAGGAAACATAAAAATCTAGCAATTTTTTTTTTAAAAAATCACTATAATTAATGTTACCCTGCTCCCCCAAGAGAGAATATAATTCTCATTTAGGGTATAACTCAATCATAAATAACAAAAGCAAAAAAACATTCTAGGGATGCCATAACATTTCAGACAGCTTATCAATATCATCTGAGCTTCAAATATTCTATCCTAAGCAGAAAGCAATATTCATGCAACATCATACATATAATAGCAATTAAAAATTTCAACTAACAATAGTATTCAAAGTGAATAGCACGCTACGTCAGATTTTGAACTCTCAACATCCAAAGAATCAAATATTCCCCAACTCTCTCTTCTTGCGGTAAGCTCAAATCTATTCTTTATAAAGCGAGTAGAAGGAAAACAGTGGTCATGGAACTTTTAACAACCAGCTAAAATACAAGGTAGAAGCAAGGATTATGACTAAGAACTAATTTAAAAATAAACTCATAAGTGAGAAAAACTGATCTTCCCTCATTGTTTTCCATAACACTTGCAGATTAAAGAACAAATCCAAATATATTTCAAGTACACCGATAATCCCCACATCCGAAGTACATATGCATAGGTACTCCTACTCTGCTCAGTTGAGGGAAGCAGGGTACATTGACATATACTTGGCTATCGCGAATATGTTTGGTTGCAAGAATGGAAAAAATGATGCGAGAACAAATAAAGAAAATTGAAAACAATTCGCTGCCAGAGAGAACAGAATAAAATTTTCCTACTTTAAGTCAAGAAATCAACTCCAATTCTATTAACTAAATTCTCCCAATCATTCACTTCCAACACTAACACTTAGCTCTGCTTATATAAATGAAAATTTGGCTGCTAGCAGAATTAGTAGCAACTAGGACAGGTTAACCATTCTTCTTTTAGCTTCGTCCAATTAAGCAACCCATAAACAACCACCTCTTAGTTCATATGTGACTCCCTGCCTGTCTGCTCTTGCCTCTTCAGCTTCCCAATCTTTGTTGACATAACGTTCTAATTTCTCACTCATATTCCCATGTTCCTATTATTATTTCCCCCTAAAAGTCACCCAGTCCCCAAGAATGAACAAGAAGATAAAAATAAAAAGGAAAGAGCACTGCCATGGTCAAAGTGAGGCCCTTAAAGAGGTGCATGCAACCAAAGAATCGCAATGCCCAATGAGAATGTGAATTCAAAACAAGCCTAGAGACTAATTTCCCACATCAAATGAAGGGCAACAAGCCAAGGTGAAAAATGGTTGGAAGCTTGATTTTGGGATTACAAGTTTAGCAAGAAAATTTCTCAATGAATATTCAAGACATGCTGAAATGCAGTCATTGAAAGAAAACACAAATACTAGAATATACAGAGAACTAATCTATCAAATGTGGTACTGTAGTATTACCTCAAGAGGGTCGGTCTCACCCTCCAACTCAACCATGACAGGTGCATTCATACTGCCCAACCAGAGAAACACGTGATATACTATGACAAAGACATCCATGATCAACCGAATCTTGAGTTGACAATGTTAGAAAGCGAACCTGATTTGGAGAGCACGAGTACCTAAAATTCGGGCACGCTCATATTTTGTCATATATTTGGTTGTCTTCCTCGGCCGTTCTATAGCCCCTTGTTCTTCCCTATCCTCAGTTTCAAGCGGCTCTCCACCTACGTCATCGGTATTGTTGTTCTCCACATCCTCCTCGGCACCTTCCTGTTCACCAATCAATCACCAGTAAATTCAATACATTATTATTCAATAAAAAGTTCCATAAAATATGTGGGGGCAAAGGGGCATGAGAAACAGAATTGCCTACTTCAATCTCAGGCTCTGGTGGTTCCTCTTCATATCTGCATCAGCAACCTCTTTCAATGAGACACGTATAGTTATCAAATAATACAAAACAAAGCAATAAAACTTGAAATGCAGACGCATAAGGTGAATTTACTTAACCATAGGGTATATAGTTTAAGTACAAGTGACCCCATCGAAGGATAGTCGAAAAAGTTTCAGTCTTTGCAAACCGCAAGAAAATATGATGACAAAGTTAGCAAAACATATATACTTCAACTCGAATATTGTATTGTGCGTTAAGTTCGTCTCTAGATTCAAGAAGAGTTTTCAAATATGTAAGTTGAATTGGCAAACGAAAACCCTTATATATGTATGTCTGTGTGGTAGAAGATGAAAAGAGAGAACCCCATATCCATGTCGTTATAGTCATCATCCGCCATCGTGTATTGCCGACGATCCCCTTTGCCTCTGGTGCCTGCCCTAAACCGCCAGAAATGGTGTCAACTTCCCACGATCCTTTTCAATTTTGCCTCCACTGCAAATAAATATTAATAAATACCAAGATTTTAAAGGTCAGACTGGCCATTAAATCGGAAACGACTGTTTTACGGTTAATGATTGGATCAAAACATTTTGACCCTACTGTTAAATAGAATTAAAATTAATAAAAACTGAATTTTTTTAAACCACCTCCCTAAAAATTAATAGATTAACTATTTAAATTAAGATTATAAAAAAGTAAATAATAAAAAAAATTTTATGATGAAATTAATTTTAAAAAAACAAAATTAAAATTAAATAATTAAAGCAAATTTAATTGACAAATTATGCAGTACAATCAATCATAATCCAATCACTTAAACTTAATTTTTCTTATCTACAAAATAAATTAAATTTATTTAACTTTATTATTCTAGTTTTAATATTATTTTTTAAATTATCATTCAAGAATTAAACAAGAAATTGTGCTATGTATTAATTGAAATCTTTTTTAACCTACAACCCTTATATTAATGTCTGTCTTTTCTTTTTTCAAAATTTATCCCTCAAGTGTCCTTAGTAGGACAGAGATTGGAACCCTCTCGTGTCCAACTTACTCAAGATAAGATACGTTGATAGTATAGTCATTCCAAAGCTTTTTTAACAATTGAATTCTTAAAGCCTTTACTCAATGTATACCCCCAAAGTTCGATCCCACAAACTCTCTTACAAAGTAAAGAAGTGTACAACATTTGGTACCAATTAATCACTCAAGTCAAACTAAATCATTCATTCTTATATTATTATATCAATTAATTATAGCAAGCAAAATTTCAGATAAAATATATAACCCAAAAAACATGCAATAAAGTTACTCTAATAAAAAATAACAATTAGAGCATAACATTTAGAAGTAAAATTAAAAAGGGTAAATTGAAATAAAGTTAAAATAAATTATTACCTGAATTTTAAAGACTTCGATTAAAGTTGAGGATCATGATTTGTGATTGATTACATCAAAAAAATTAGTTCTCCATAGAACTAAAAAAAAAAACAACATAGTTGTTCGTGTGTGAACAATAAATATCAAGTGTGTCAGAAACGCTAAGTTTCAATTGATAACAAAAGAGTCTCGAGCTCCCTTACCACAGCTTACTCAAACGTAAAAAGATACAAGGCTTGGATAGAACAAAGTGTTTGATTTTATTGAAATGTGAAAAAGTTACAAGTCTAAACTAAGAGATTAACTGATAAACTAAAAGAAAAAAGTGTAAAATGTGAGTCTTTGATTGAGTGTTGACTAGTTTCTTCCATGTCTTCATCTTCTATTTATAGTGTCAAAGTAGTGGTGGCCTCTTCCTTAAGACCCATCACGTTTTGTCAAAAAATCAAGAATCTTGTGAAACTCATGGCTGGTCTTTATTCCATGCTTTCCATTTGGATGATCAACCCGTTTCACCAAGATACTTAGGCATGAAGTCCGTAGATTTCAACATTACTTGAAATCATGTCTTTCGTGTCAACATTTTAATATTTGCAGCTGATGAGACTTAGCATAGTTATTTATTATGGCCTTTAGTAAGTATTGGGGCCGGCCCCTTTTGTTTATATTAGGCCTAACACTTCAGTTACTCAACCCAATTAGTTTTATAACTTATTTGAGTGACATTTTATATTTTAACCTAAACAATAATATGAGAAAATGAAAAGGCCATCCTTAAAGAAAAGAAATGACGAATCGTGGTTCAATTAATTATAATTAAATATTAATATATTTTTATTTATGTGTATTTATATATTAAAACATTGCATAAAAATTAAAAAAATATTTAATAAGTTAAACTTAAAAAGTATCTTATAACAATAAATATTTTAAAATTTGGAATAATTTTTAAATTTATAAATGGTTACATAATTTTTGAAAAATCATGCATTAAATTTTCTCATGTCCCGTAATCTTTTTAATAGTCTACTATTATTTCTTCCTTTAAATAATCAAATAATACATGTAATAAATAATCATGAAAAAAATAATAAAATATCACCGAAATATATAACAATGATTAGGTCACTTAAAATATTATAATTTCTCTCAAATCTCTAGATACCTTTTTAATATTAATAATTTCTCTTAAGTCTTTAAGTGCCTTTGCGATATTAATGATTTTAAGTAAGATGACTAAGTTGCCTCTTATTTTATGATAAAAGAATTTTATGTGTGAAGTTGTAATTTTTTTAATATTTATAATTTATAGAATAAAAGTTGTAATTTTTTAAACAAAAAGTTATAGTTGATTATTTTCAAACCTTTGACTTGAATAATAAAAGAAATTTCACGTAAGAAGTTACGATCTTATAGGAAAATTAATCTTTTAGTTCTTGAAGTTTTGATTCAGTTGTGACTCAATACTTAAATTTTAATTCATTGTAACTTGATCCTTATAATTTTGACTCAATTATAACTCGGTCCCTCAACTTTCACTTATGCAACTCAATCCCTATAATATTAATCATGTATATATTGGTCCCTATATTATTTTAAATTACTAAACCATTTTAATCTTTATAAAAATTAAAATTCAAAAATAATTTTAATCTTTATAAAAATTTATTTTTAAAATATAGAGACTAATAGATAAGTAGTTAAAACTATAAAGATTGAGTTGTAAGAGTCAAAGTTGATAGACTAAATTACAATTGAGTCAACATTATAAAGATTAAGTTACAACGAGTCAAAATTCATGAATTGAGTTATAATTAGATTAAAACTACAGGAACCAAATGATTAATTTTTTTAGTTCTTATTCAATATTTTCCATTCATATAATAAAAGCTGTGATTACTTAAACAAAAGTTATAATTAGTTATTTTTCAAAAGTTGAACTTCAATGATAGAAGAAAGTTGAAATTTCTTGTTTAATTTTTGTAATTTGTAGAATAAACGTCGTGATCGTTGAAACAAAAGTTATAATTAGTTATTTTCAAAATTTAAACTTCAATGATTAAAAAAAATTTCACGTAAAAAGTTATAATTTCTTATTTAATTTTTATAATTTATGAAATAAAAGCTATGATTGTTTAAACAAAAGTTGTAACTTATTTTTTTTTAATTAGAAATGCATTCATAAACCAAACAAAGATTACAAGGGACAATTAGCACCTAAAGTGTTACTTTCACCACCCACCTCCTCTTGATAAAGAGATGGGGGTAATCAAAGATGCAAAAAATTAAATCTAAGCTACGAGAATTTTTTGCTAAAAAATCAACATAGGGATTGGATATCGTACTAAAATACTGGATAGTCACACTCCAAGACTTGTGAAACAAAAAGCGAGTATCATCTACAATGTCTTTAAAAGGATAGGTATTCTCACAGCCTTGAAGAATTATGACAAGGGATAATTTAATCATTTAACCTAAAATCATTAACGTCAAGAGGGTGACTAAGAAATTGAGAAGAATTATGATATTTTGAGAAACTTAATTGTTATTTATATATTTTAGTATAATTTTATTGTAATCCCTTAATAGTCATTTGGTTAATTATTTTTTAAAAAAACCAAAAACTTGAAAAAATATACATAAGCCATTAAACCTTTTTTTTTTTAGGAAATGTCAAATTTATTCATTATTAAAACTACTACATGATGATTGGGCCGAAAAAGGAAAGCATAATAAAAGAAAATAAAAGAAGCCCAATACGATGATTGGACTAGAACAAGCAAAGAATCACCAAAACATAACGAAAGCAATAACAAATAGCCCACTAGTGTGAACTCCACCAAAAGCAAAGTGCAATTGGGAGGGTGAAGATCTATGAGCATCAAAGGAGAGCCATCTTAAACAACCTACCATCTCCAAAGTCTTATAAGCACCATCCTCACAAGTGCATCCATGCACAATTGTACCATAAAAGGCATAGAAAGGAGAACCAATGGTTTTCAGTAAAGTGGCGAGAAGTGAGGAATTAGTTACATGAACCCAAAAGCCTAAAGGCAAGCGAAGCTTCAACAGCAAAAAAGCACCTAAAGAGCAAACAAAAACATAAAACATCTAATAGTAGGAAATATAACCAGATAAAGGCAAACAACAAAACAACCAAAGTGAGCAGCCTATTCCTTGCCAAAGGATCATCACAAAGATAACCTAAAACAAACTCAGGTCAAGAGCCCTGACTAAGCAACAAAAACAATAAAGAAAAAGGCCGAAAACAAAGAGTAATGGAAAAGCAAACACTAAAACATATTTGTCTTTTGGCAACTTTTAGCTTTACAATAGTTTGGAAAATGTTGTCCAATCTAAGTGTTGCAATTAATTACTACTTTAAACAACATATATGTGACAACATTTGAAAAATGTTGCCTAACATAAAATAGGCAACACTTTTAAACTGTTAAATTGTATTTTTTAAATAGACAGCATTAGAACTATTACTCATATAATGACCTTTTTCATAACATTTGAAAACTATTTCCTTTTTTAATAGGCAACAATTACATAAATGTTGCCTTTAAATGTTTCTTTTTGCAATATTTAATAACAATTGCATATTATGTTTTTATACATAAAACCCATATACTTTTACACTTCTTAATATTTTTTATACTTTTATTAATTAAATAATTAATTGATTAATTTTTAAATTATTAATTAGTTAAATTAAAAAATTACCTAAAAAATATCTATATATAAAAAATTTACACTAAATGACATGATAGTAACTTTGGAAAAGTGGTAAGAGTAATTTTGTAACTCTCTTGAAATTTGGGGTTCAAATATTAGGCATGAATATAAATTTTAATTGTTTTCTATTTTATATCTACACAACAGTTTTTAATTGTTGCCTATTATGATATGATAGGTAATATTTTAGAACTTTTGCAATAGGTTCATATGAGAATTGTTGCTTTTTCCTAAAATATAGGCAATGATTTTTTAAAATGTGTAGCTATAAAGTGCGAAATTGTTGCCTTTTATAAGAAGTAACACTAGAATTGATACAAGTTAAAAAATGTTGTCTTTAATTTTTTTTTACAATAGTTTTCATACTT